AATATGGATGTCATTAAGTAGAAATAAATTTTCCACTTTAAGCAGTTCTGACTCTAATATTTATATACAAAACTGAACCCTAAGACATAGAATGTTATTTTTAAGTTCATAACTGTATTTCCTGTATTTGTGAATACATTTGACCTGCAGAACGTATTTTTCTCAGCTTCAAGTACTGTTATGAGACTAAGGAAAAAACAACAAAAGTTCTTTTATCTTAAGCTTCAGGGTATTAAAAAGTCAAACGTTTCCTTACTGAATATATTTTAAGGCACATGTGACCAATGTATATTCATAAGACTTGTAAATAAAACATGATATAGAGATGTTGTGGTATTCTCAGTGACAGTGATTTAAAATTTAAAACAATCTTTATTTATACCTAAAAGTGCAAACATGTGCATACTTGCCTTGTAATGAAACAGTGAATCAGTCAGCAGCTGTAACCTCTCAAGACATCTTTCCATCAGTAATAACATAGTTTGAAAACCAAGTAGAAATATGTTAATCCAACACTCCTTACTTAACATGAAATGTTAGATTTACCCATTATGACTAAAGCTATCCAAGTGGCTAGTTGTTCTCGTACCACACAGCTAGGGCCATAACCTCAGCCAGTAAAGGACATTGCAGTTGTTGGCCTACTTGCACAATGTGTGTGAAGTTACAGCAATATCCCCATGGATATAGTAAATATTATCTACTAGAGAACATTAAAAGTAACTAAAACAAAAATAACACCATGATTTTCTGGACCATATGTTTATGTAAAAACTGCATAGAATCAGGTTAAATGAAACATTTTGAAAGGTTGAACATTAAACTAAGAATGTAGAAAATGTATGGTATGCCTGCATATCATAATATATATAAATGATTTGTAGGCCCATTCTAATAGTATTTGGTTGAGACAGAAATGAGGTCATCTCTGAAACATACCTCCAAAAGAAAGTTTACATTCAGATGTATCTCTACTGTTTAATATTTTGTTACCACATAGATTCTTTAAATTAATAACACAATAAAGGGATCATATGAATGCAAAAATGACCTAAACAGTACATTGATGTTGGTTCAAAACTGGTTTATCTAAATAAACGCTATGTGACAGAGTACTGTACTGCTTATTTGTATGTGTTTATTACACAATATGCTATGCTGAAATCTTAAAAACGAAATAATTATTTTTATTCAGTTTATCTTACAGAGTTAAAAATATGTTATCGTCCATCATGGTTGACATTTGGAAAATACACACCTTTCATATTATTAAAAACAATTCTGAGTATAAATTTATCCTGAAATCAAATATTAAACCATCTCTTAAACATACATTTTATTAATGTATTCAACCCATTTTAATGAGCATTTTATTACAAACAAAATCTTAATCCAGCTACACTGAACATTAAATAGTTTTTGCTGTCCTATAGTTACAATGGTGAAATAAATACTACATAATATTCAAAGGTTATTTATCATACAAAAATCACACATTGTGTGCTACACAGAAATTCAATAACAAGCAATGTAATTGTACTTTTGACTAATTTTCTTTGGTTTTTTCATCTCTGATACCAGTACTTAAGTGTTACTTCTACCAAAGAAGTACAAAATAATAAATAAACTGTCTAAAGCTTTTAGCTGTAGATGATTTAGTACTTATTCCATACAGAGGGCCCAAAGTTCTTTAAATATGACAATGGTGTACATGACACAGTGATTTCACACACATTATACACAAATACTTCCTGTAATTACACATCTTCAACAAGCATAATTTCTCAGATTTTAAATGACTTAAATATCAGACCAATAGTACATCAAAGTTAATTTAAATTTATAAAATAAAATGAATTTTGAAAGGTAAAATGTTAGATGGTGAATTTACATTCTTAGCCAGAAACAACATACAACTGTCAAAAACACAAACCTACTTCTTCATTCCAAGATAACTACTGTTCAGAAGTGGGACAGAAAACATACAAAACTTGACTTACAACAAAATAACTTTTTAAAAAGATGTTATATAGTGAAATAAGATCAGCAAGTAAAACTTTTTTTTACAAAATGGGATTATATAGTAATTCATTACTCCTGCACCAGTCACCGATCTGTTAATATGGAAGTAAGATTATATAGTAATTCATTATGACTCGTGCAGGAGTTACTTCCAAGTTAAGAAAATAAGATCAATAAGTAAAACGTTTTTTTTTACAGCTGAATAATACTGTAGTTCATATTCAAAGTATTATATTATCTAAGCTCTAATATCTTAATTTCAAAGGAAAATAGTAAACAAATTCTCAATCTTCACTTTTCTGTCTCACGTGATGCATCTATAATCTGAATTTTTCTTATTTAATTTGTAGAGAAATAACCTATAAATAATTTCAATGTTCTAGCTCTGTTTATTGAGATATCAATAAAATTTCCCAACCCATGACAGAAGCCCACCAATCTATCCTCAACATTCAAGGCAATTTTCAAAACCACTTGTTTGTATTTGATAGAAATAGTTTATTTTCCATTTCAAGCATACAATGGTCCTTTTGGTAACAGATGTTGGAGTAGAGGACTTGATGGGTTACGTGTTGGTGAGAAAAGCTGATGATCATAACATTTAACAATTTTATTTTACCTTAAATAACTTAATTGGAAAACCAATTAAATTATAGTTGTTTTTGGACATTCTATTTTAGTGACTTATGTATTATTTAGGTTTTAAAATGAATATTTAAAAGGTATATGAACTTTCGTTTTGGTAACTAACTTACAAAAAAAAAAAAGAACATACATACATGTATGTATGGCTAGGTAATGATGAGTGTACGATTCCAGAGCTTCATACATACATGTACATAGGGCTAGGTAATAATGAGTGTACAATTCCAGAGCTTCAAACATACATGTACATAGGGCTAGTTAATGATGCGTGTACGATTCCAGAGCTTCAAACATACATGTACGTAGGGCTAGGTAATGATGTGTGTACGATTCCATAGCTTCATACATACATGTACATAGGGCTAGGTAATGATGCATGTACGATTCCAGAGCTTCAAACATACATGTACGTAGGGCTAGGTAATGATGAGTGTACAATTCCAGAGCTTCACACATACATGTAAGTAAAGCTAGGTAATGATGCGTGTACGATTCCAGAGCTTCAAACATACATGTACGTAGGGCTAGGTAATGATGTGTGTACGATTCCAGAGCTTCACACATACATGTAAGTAGGGCTAAGTAATGATGTGTGTACGATTCCAGAGCTTCACACATACATGTACGTAGGCTAGATAATTATGAGTGTACAATTCCAGAGCTTCACACATACATGTAAGTAGGGCTAGGTTATGATGAGTGTACAATTCCAGAGCTTCACACATACTTGTAAGTATGGCTAGGTAATGATGAGTGTACGATTCCAGAGCTTCAAACATACATGTACGTAGGGCTAGATAATTATGAGTGTACAATTCCAGAGCTTCACACATACATGTAAGTATGGCTAGGTAATGATGAGTACAATTCCAGAGCTTCATACATACATGTAAGTAGGGCTAGGTAATTATGAGTACAATTCCAGAGCTTCACACATACATGTATCGAAATCTGTTACATGTTCCTACTGTGGTACGTTGCTCTTTAGGGATGAACAAACTGTATGTCATACAAGCCAAGCAATAAAACTATAAAATTAAAAATAACTATATGAAAAGTAAACACTTGAAATTGAAGAAATAGTAACAAATAATTCATCCAAAGAAAAACGATAATGTTTATTTTATTTCAAGAGTTTCAAAATTTAATATCACTGTACATTGATGATTTTGCTACAATCAGTGTTAGAACAGTGGAAATAAAAAAAGTTTTGATATTCATTTAAGGGGTACTAGAGGTTATGTAAATGAAATACGACAGCTGTAAAATGAAAAGAAGTGTTATAATAAGCATGAAAATTATCTTGTACTCAGATTGACTCAGTAAATTCACATACAAATTTTTACTATAATACTCTACTAAATATCCGGACTTGTTTTGTGTATAACATACATATAATACTTACTAAAAGCTTGTCCTATTTCGTGAAGATACAATTAATAAATTCAGAGCCCAAACATGTAAACCATCATGTGTAGGGGTTATTTCCTTTTTTTCCCAAGGCCTGGTAATAGGATAAAAAATACAGCTTTTCCAAGAGGCTGTTAAAAAAGATTTGTATTTGTCCAAATTTTACAGCTGGACAAATGGCAAGTAATTTTAAATTTATAGGTTTCATGTTATGCTTTCTATGATAGAAAAGATTAAATCTTCTACTTCAACCACTAAATGACATAGGTTTCAAGACACAAAATATGTATCACGCTGGGTGGAATGAAAGTTAAGGTTGTGGGTTCAAAAATTACTCTAGTTTAATCCCAAAAATTCACTTGTCAATACCAGTGTGTCCACACAGTCAAAAAAGTTCCAAGAACACATGTATATCCTCCATCACGTACTGTTAGGATTATCTGTACAACACTGTACAGTCTCCATCATACTCCATGTTTTGTTAGAATTATCTGACTGGTCATGTACAACATTGGTCCATGCTTCTTTCAAAATGTACCCTATCTATATTTTTTTATCTTGTATTCCCAGACCATTTTGTATCAACACTGTACAGTCTCCAACATGTATTGTTACAATTATTTAACTGGTCATGTGCAACACACCATATAGTCTCCATCATGTATTGTTACAATTATTTAACTGGTCATGTACAACACACCGTATAGTTTCCATCATGTATTGTTACAATTATTTAACTGGTCATGTACAACACACCGTATAGTTTCCATCATGTATTGTTACAATTATTTAACTGGTCATGTATAACACACCGTATAGTCTCCATCATGTATTGTTACAATTATTTAACTGGTCATGTACAACACTGATCTAAACTTCTTTTGTAATATTTCCCTATCTACACTTTTATCTTTCTCTAGTAGCTCCAGTCTTAAAACTTGGAATGTTTGGTGTCCTTGAAAGCCATCTCTCCATAGCTGTTTCTCTTCATTAATTCACAGAATGAATCTTCACGCTTCAAAAGAACTTATGACCATGTTCTTCTAACCTGTTGTTTCATCTTACATCATCCATTTTTATTTCCCACTAAACTTTAGTCCTCTTCTAGCTTGCTTATGTTTTTCCTGAGTTTTCTGGAAATGCTGCAATAGTTCTGGAAAGTTAATTTTCTTCTGTAAGTTTTTCTGGGTAGTGGAAGAGTGAGATCTAGTAAAAATATTAAAAAGACTCATAATGTATTACGTGCTGAAAACAGGGATGTGTGGGTGAAGTAGAAAAAGTGAGATACTAATTTGTAATATATTCTTGCTAGAAAATTACAAAAACTGGAAGTAATTTATAATCTGCTCTGGATTCTATTAGTAATATGTACAGATTTAAAACCTATAAAATAACCTGGATAAATGTGTCTCAGAAAAGAAAGACAATGTAATTAAATACCTTGATAAATGTAAGTTAAAGAACAACCTGGATTATCTGGATAAATGTGTCTAAAAAAATGAAATGTAATTAAATACCTGGATATATGTAAATTAAAGAAAAGAACCTGAATATATCTGAAAAAATCTGGATGCAATTAATGAACTGAATATCAGAGGAAAAGACAAATGTAGTTCATAACTAAACAAAAGGTGACATTACTTATCTACTTAACTCTGTATCCATATGGCAGTGGTACAAGATAAGAGCTTTCAGTTCTGTAAAGGGTGAGTAGCATTTTTTAATAATCATTTATAAATTCAGTTACAAAAATAAGATGAAACACTAATGTGACTAATTCATTAAAGGTATTCTTCTGTAAGTTTAAATGGAAAATTACTAACTTTGAATCAGGTTGCTGAAAAACTGAAAGACCGTGGATGCAAGAAAGCCTTTGACGAAGCGTGTGGAAAGCTTCACTTTGTGGTAGAAGCATCAGTAGACCATAGAGACTTTTAACTAGGTAAGGATTCTGTTGCGGTTCAAGAAGTTGTAATCTAAGATCTGAAACAGAAAGAGAACTAAGATCTGAAACAGACAAAAATAACATACCAAGACCTTAAACAACCTGCAATTTGAGAGTGAAAACAGACCCAGATGCTGTAGTCTGACATTCATATTTTGTGAAAAGTTAAGCTGATGCATATAAATTTGTAATACTTACGTATTTTTATTTTAAAAATTTTAGGAATAAAAAATGTCTGATCTTAGTCAACGGGGAAACTATGTGAAAGTTAATATCTGAACATGTATTTCCAATAGATACTAACTTCTAAACTAGTGGGATGCAAATCTTTCTGGCAGACACATGAGGAAAATAGCTAAACTGTGTATGGAGACGAGTTATTGTCTTGGAAGAAATTAATAGTAAAGACTCAACATTTTGTAATAAAAATACATTCAGACCTATACTTGCACATAAAAACTTGATAAATCTACATGCCTCGGATATATAATATTAATATATACACATTTTACTTAATTAGCACTAAGATTAAAGAAAGAAAAACTTACTTAAACCAAAACAGTTATATTACCTACTGTCCATTTATATCTTTGTTATTGGCTTAAATATGCACGAGCTTTTATTTGAAACATCAGTGTTTTTAGAAAGTGAAATCTTCCATCAGTTAGAATTTAAAAATTCCTCAGATAAAATAAACTGTACCTTTTGAAATTAAACAAGTAATCTTATGTGTTTTTCTAGTATCATTAATAAAAACGTTTATATATAATATACTTTTAGAGCACAAAAATTAAAAGTAGTTTAAAATAGAAACTTTAACCATTTCCTTGATGTGTTGAGTGCACACCTACATATAAAGTTTGAAAATTTACCAAAAGTAATAATTCTTTTGCACAAAAAAAATTTCAGAATTGATACTTTGTTATTTGTGACATTTATGTAACTCAAAGGTAAAAATGAAAATAATTTTCAAACTTATATTTCTACACAGATCCAAAGAGTCATGCCTATACACAATGTACTTATGTTTTTATAATTTATTTGTCTATCCCAAAGCATATGTTTATATTTGCTAAGAAACAATCATTACTTGAAAAATATCTCAAGGTTCTGTTTCTCGTATAATTTTCCTTCTCTTTCTCTGAATGTTATTAGTAGTCTTTCAGTTCCCATGCTTTTATGACTTCACAACAGGTGACTGAACTACTGATGAAAGTCAACTTTCAAAATAGCTACAGGCAAAAGTAAATACCATTGGATAGAGTGAAACAATAAGTACTTTCTGGTTTTGTTGGACAAGATCTCGCTCACACAGAAAAACAACAACAATGGAATGTAGTGGGAAGTTCAGAAGAGTTAGGAACAAATCATAGATCCAGGATTTTTCATATAGTTTCTTTAGATGTTCTTTTTGTTGCTGAAAATATCTTGGTGCTAAATTATATTTGTTTAAAAGCTACAGAAATTTTCTTTTATGACAAGACATGAAGTAAGCCTTAATGGATATAGTGAGTGTGATAGGCAACAGCAAAAATATTCTAGTAACTCAAACTTACTTATTGAATATCTTAGTTAGGTTTACTGTTTTCAAACAATGCATATAAATTTAAGAACCTATTAATGAATATAAATCAAGTTGAAACTGAATGGATATTTAAAATGGAACTTCTGATTACCATAAAACAAAAGGAAGTATATCAAATGATTTTAAAACAGTGTGTCACAACAAATTTTAAAAATTCGACAGCATAAAAAATGATAGAAAAACTAAATCAACTTATATGAATTTGTTTAAGCAGAAACTAGATATTATTTATTAATTTTATTCTAGGTTTCATGCAATCAGGTTTGGGTGTTTCCACTGTGTGAAGGAAAAACATCAAGGGATATCAGTGACCCCCCCAACCTTCCAATGTGGGAAGTGTTAACTTTTGATTAACAGGGAGTATCACTATTTAATTTTAGAAAAACCTTCTGTATCTGAAAATTAATGGGGCCTTCATAAGTTTTGGTTCACTTACATATTTATAAATCTAAATAAAATCTGAAAAATACTCAATTTACATGAAAACAAAATTCAATAAAAAAATATATTTAGGATTTCAACTAAGAAGCCATTGGTTACTACTGAAAGCATTAACAATTAGTGAACAATTGGAAATGCTGTAAAATTGAGTAAAATTCTCACTTTTAATTAAAACTGGATATTTGTATTTCATTATTATTTTTCATAAATAAATACATCACATTATAGCCATATACATTAAGTGGGTAAAAACAAAATTGTGTTTGAAAAACTGTTTAACACAACTATACTTACATGTAAATATTGGAGATTCAATAAGCTGTATAAGTTTATCAACTTCAGTTAGGAAGTAAACAGTTACTTCCAGATTCCCACTGATGTAAAGAGTTAAGAAAAAACCTTTTTCTACAGACACTTAATTATTACTTTAATTTATAAATACAGTTTATTAACTGATTCTTCCATTGTCCATCACAAACTTTAAAAAACAAACAATTTAATAAATAATAATAAAATAAATAACAAAAAGTTTACTACTTTCACACTTGTCTGTAAACAAGCTATATGAGTGAAAGATAATAATTTTCAAGTTCCAGTGAAAAAATTATTATACAATGAAGTATACAATTGTAAAGATTTACTTTATTAAACAGTACCTCATTCACTAAAGTATACCATTGTAAAGATTTACTTTATTAAACAGTACCTCATTCACTAAAGTATACCATTGTAAAGATTTACTTTATTAAACAGTACCTCATTCACTAAAGTATACCATTGTAAAGATTTACTTTATTAAACAGTACCTCATTCACTAAAGTATACCACTGTAAAGATTTACTTTATTAAACAGTACCTCATTCACTAAAGTATACCACTGTAAAGATTTACTTTATTAAACAATACCTCATTCACTAAAGTATACCACTGTAAAGATTTACTTTATTAAACAATACCTTATTCACTAAAGTATACCACTGTAAAGATTTACTTTATTAAACAATACCTTATTCACTAAAGTATATGACTGAAAAGCTTAAATCTGCTGAATTAAGCTTTCTTCTCTTTGTCAGAATTTTTTAGTTATCACACTTCAGCACTAATTTTGTCTTTCTACAATGTTCTATTAAGTTCCATTACAGCAGACAATCAAATTTCCAAAAAATAAAGGATACAACAGATGTATCAAGTCACAGGCATGCTTGTAATTCTGTGACAGGAGACACAGTGAAACAGTAGCTACTGGACTATGACACCAGGAGCGATATAGACAACAAAACAATGAACAACTTTCCTAAAGTGAACAAACAAACAACGTTTAAAAATTGTGGAATAGTGAAGTACCCAAGTTTTGGTATGATTAACCACATCACAAGATTAACAAACATACAAGTTCTGTGGCATCAAAACAATCGGCCTTAAATCTGCTGCATGTTTAACAAAGAAACACTGCTAATAAAGTGGTCTTTTTTAAAGGGAAATGCTTATAATGTATATAAAAAAAATCACATTTAATGCTGTTTTTTTTATATAAATATGAAGTTGTAAAAGCTTACGTTTTACAAAAGACCGGACTAAAGGCACAAATTTATGACCATGAAACAGATACAGCAGTTTTAACTTTTAAAGATGTACAAGATTATAGGTGTAATATAACATCTAGCTTGGCTGCAAATTCAATAATTCATTAAATTTGACTACATGATTCATTTTAAGAAATTAACAAAAACTCTTGCCCACCTCAGTCTTCAGATTGTTAAGTTGATTTCGTAGTTCAAACAATTCAGTAGAAGTAAGAAGTATAGTATTAAGTGTCTCCACCAGATGGCAAGCAAACTCTAAATCTTCATGAACAAGAAGTATTTCTGCTATTGTCCTGTAGATATCTTCTGTATTCAGCACTAGGCATAACTGTCTAAACAGGTCAAAAGTTTGTGTCAACACTCAGTAAATCCTATCTATGTGCTCTTTTTGCATCTCAAATATTTGTCCTAGTTATGTTTCTACCTATTCATACGTATCCAACAAAAATCTGACTTAAGAACTACATTGTGATCAGTGCTAGTAATTATGATATCCAACAGAATTTGGACTTAAAAACAAGCTACGTTTCAGCACCAGATATAATTATATTTATTTTCAACAAAAAACTCATGTTCAGCACTTAGAGATCACTATAACTTAAGAACCACCTTGCATTCACTACTACGATATTGTTATGTTGCACTAGAGATCACTATAACTTAAGAACCACCTTGCATTCACTACTAAACTATGATATTGTTATGTTGCACTAGAGATCACTATAACTTAAGAACCACCTTGCATTCACTACTAAACTATGATATTGTTATGTTGCACTAGAGATCACTATAACTTAAGAACCACCTTGCATTCACTACTAAACTATGATATTGTTATGTTAAGCTCACGCTCAGCACTAAAACCTCATATCTAAATTTTTCTAGTTATCTCTTTTGTTATATAATGTCAGGTAGCAAAAAAAACTATTATTGTTATCATAAAGCTAACTGATTAATAAGTTGATACTGTTACAATATAAAGAACTAATACTAAACTACAGCTTCATACTCACCTGATTATAAAAGAACCCCTATCTTTAATGAGTTGATACTGTTACAATATAAAGAACTAATACCAATCAGGTGAGTATGAAGCTGTAGTTTAATAAAAGAACCCCACATCTTTAATGAGTTGATACTGTTACAATATAAAGAACTAATACTAAACTACAGCTTCATACTCACCTGATTATAAAAGAACCCCTATCTTTAATGAATTGATACTGTTACAATATAAAGAACTAATACCAAACTACAGCTTCATACTCACCTGATTATAAAAGAACCTACATCTTTATTGAGTTGATACTATAACAATATAAAGAACTAATACTAAACTACAGCTTCATACTCACCTGATTATAAAAGAACCCCTATCTTTAATGAGTTGATACTGTTACAATATAAACAACTAATACCAAACTACAGCTTCATACTCACCTGATTATAAAAGAACCTACATCTTTATTGAGTTGATACTATAACAATATAAAGAACTAATACTAAACTACAGTTTCATACTCACCTGATTATAAAAGAACCCCTATCTTTAATGAGTTGATACTATAACAATATAAAGAACTAATACTAAACTACAGCTTCATACTCACCTGATTATAAAAGAACCCCTATCTTTAAGCAAACCTCGATTCCTACTGAACAGCTCCATCAAAGCAACCATAAACTTGGTGAAGTAACATGTCATACTTGGAAAGCTTGGTGCCATTTCCCTAACAGGGGTTGGAACATTCACATTTTGAAGTTGGTTTTGCTGCTTCAGACCAGCAGACGAAGAAGATATTTCTGATAAAACTTCAAGATCCAGAAGAACAACCTGTATAAGAAATAATAAGGGCCACGAAACAATAAGTTTCATTACAATGACAAAGAAACATTAAGCTGTATTCAAGTGAAGAAGAGATATTAACATATATTGAAGAAGATTACACCATATTCTGCTGAAAAAAAAACCAAAAAGTTATATCTTACTGAAAAAACAACAAGTAATATCTTACTGAAAAAACACACAAATAGTTATATCTTACTGAAAACACACAAATAGTTATATCTTACTGAAAACACACAAATAGTTATATCTTACTGAAAAAACACTACACATTTAACTACTAGCTAAATGAAGATTAAAAAACTATTTAACATAGATCACACTTCTTTTAGTGTGATTAATTTTTGGACTGTGTTTAATACTACTAAAAAGGAAATCAGAATGATGCCAAAAATGTGTTTCAAATCATACCAATTTTCAATATTTTCAAGTACAAAGCTGAGGTGTAAGATTACTGTAACAAGAATTAAAGATATTTTGTTTAGGCTTTGTCCAATATATGCCACTAATGAGAATATCTTTCACCGAAGAACACTGGTCGTTGGTCAGCTAGGTCACAATGTACAATACAAAAACAAATATTTAAAATCACAAGCAGTGTGTTGAGAAAAGGTTGTGATTATATCCCAGGTTTGATGTACACAGTATTGTAAAAAGACAGTAATATCAGAGTATTTCATTCACTGTCTCAGTATAATATTGTGCTGTTAAGAACAGTTGTGTTGTTTAGTATGTGTCACAGAAAACTGCTATATAATCTTATAAACCTAGTGGGAAAAGTCCACACTACACAGTTATGTATCACACTAAATTTTTAAATTTTATCTGCCATTGAAATGTATTTATACAACTGTATCAAATCCAGTACTGCTACAGTTAAAACTGCTGTTTAACATAATCTTCTATGTACACTAACAGACTCATGCCTGTCCATTTCAAGAGGATTTTGGGACCAAAAGATGGAAGATATTCTCTGATGAAGTCACAGCTGTTTAACATAATCTTTTATGTACACTAACAGACTGATGACTGTCCATTTCAAGATGATTTTGGGACCACCAGGATATTCTCTGATGAAGTCACAACTGTTTAACCTACACTTTTATGTACACTAACAGACTGGTGCCTGTCCATTTCAAGAGGATTTTGGGACCACCAGGATGCAAGATATTCTCTGATGAAGCCACAGGAATAATAATGGTTGGAGATAGCTTGAATGGGAAATGAAACAAAACTTTAATATAAGTTTAACATAACAGCAAATGTACAACGTTTCGATAAGGTTTTGTCATCATCAGGTACAAGTAATTTACACTGACACGGATATATATACACACAACACACACAGAGTATTGAACAAAGAGGTCACATGACCAGACACTTGCAAAATTTAGAAGAGGTATCTTGGCACCCCGGGGTGTTGGTTTAGAGTAGGGTTGTTATGTTCAATTAAGATGGATTCCTTGATTTTTCGTTTGTTTATGTTGGGTTCTTTGTTTAAAATGACTGTGTTTTTAATAGATATACTATGGTTTTTTTGAGTTGCAATGGTGAAAAACATGGGACAGTTTTTTTATTGTGTTCTGTCAATCTGGTTTCCAATTTTCTTCCTGTTTCTCCGATGTAGAATTCTGGACAGTTATTGCATGTTATTTTGTAAATGACGGTGGTGACCTCTTTGTTCAATATTGTATATATATATATATAT